CCAGAAATTTGCATTGTGTTTGTTTGTAGAGTTTAGTAAGTTACTTTGATAGCCAGCACTAAGAATAATCACAAGGCACTGAATTAAACCTTATATATGTGAAAGAGCTCAGATTTTTAAAATTTGTTATAAAAATTTACAAAACTATAAATGGACATTAGAATTCCAAAAACAACAGTTGGCAAGAGATTACTATAATTTTGTGAGATAAGTCTTCTTTTAACACCCTCCACTTTCTTGTCATGATGTAATATACATACGATAAAATTAGCCATTTTAACCATTTTTAAGTAAACAGTTCAGTAGCATTAAGTACATTCACATTATTATGCAGCCATCATCACCATCCATCTTCAGTACATTTTAATCTTCCCCAACTAAAACTGTTCCCATTAAACAAAAATTTGCCTAGAACTTGAAGACCACAATTCTACTTTCAGTCTCTAGGAATTCAACTACTTAAAAGTACCTCAAATAAGTGAAATTGTACAGTAGTTGTGCTTTTTTGATTAGCTTATTTCACTTAGCATAATATCCTCAAGGTTCCTCTATGTGGGAGACTGCATCAGAACGTCCTTCCTTATTAAAGTTCAGTTACAGCTCATTGTATGCAGACACAAATTGCTTACCCATTTATCTGCTGACGGACACTTCAGTTGCTTCCACATTTTGGAAAATGTGAAGAATGCTGTTCTGAACATGGGTGTAGAAATGGAATTACTAGAATGCTTATAATACCCTTAACTGGATAGATTCTTATAATACCCTTAACTGGATAAAGGAATACCTTGTATATTTTATGGTAAAACTCACAACAGGGAACCTTTTTTCTGCCAAGGGCCATTTATATATTTATAACATCATTTGTGAGCCATATAAAATTATCAATTTAAAAATTTGCCTAGTAGAGATTTATTGAATTTGTGTCCCACCTGCAGTTGCCTTGGCAGGGCCAGACCACATGATTTTGTGGGAATTACATGGTCAATGGCCAGACATTCCCTACCTATCATGAGGCATAAATTTCCAACTTTCTAAGGTGACACATGTAAGATGACCTTCATATCTGAGTTTTTGCTCTACTTGGTCCTTCCTTGAGGTCTTTACATTCAGGTTTGTTTTTATTTTTTTCTATCTTCAGCATGCTCTCCCATGACAAGTTCACATTTTTTTTTCTTTTTTTTTAATTTTTTTTTTTTTTGACAGGCAGAGTGGACAGTGAGAGAGAGAGAGACAGAGAGAAAGGTCTTCCTTTTTGCCGTTGGTTCACCCCCCAGTGGCCGTGGCCGGCGCGCTACGCAGGTGTACCTGCTGATCAGAAACCAGGAGCCAGGTGATTCTCCTGGTCTCCCATGGGGTGCAGGGCCCAAGGACTTGGGCCATCCTCCACTGCACTCCGGGGCCACAGCAGAGAGCTGGCCTGGAAGAGGGGCAACCGGGACAGAATCTGGCACCCCGACCGGGACTAGAACCCGGGGTGCCGGCGCCGCAGGCGGAGGATTACATTTTTTTTTTCTTGTTATGGTTTCCAAATTCAATATCATGGCCTGAGTGGTCTCCTGCAATTTCTACTTCCTCATCAACCACATCTTCATGAGTAAGCGAGCTACTTCCCAGGAACACTATTCCCCCAGTCATTCCTTCTCTCCCCTGGATATTCTACCACTCTGATTCTACAGTGTCTTTCTCCATAGGGTATAAGCCTGTTTAAATCCCCCCCATTTTAAAAACAAGCAAAATAAAAGTGTATATATATATATATATATATATATGGAGAGAGAGAGAGAGAGAGAGAGAGAGAGAGAGAGAGAGATTTGGTCCTTACTCTAATGAATCCACAAAATAGTATCTCCACCTTGCATTTTGCCCCTGAATAGTAAAACCAACGATCTGGGAAACAACCCTAGTTTTGCAACACAGAAAGAAAATTGGTCTTTTCAGAAATTGTCTTTCAGGCAAAGATATAAAACAAATCAAAAAAAAAAAAGGTTCTACTATATCCCAAGCCCTCTATTACTTAGATAACAAATCCAACCCTAAAACCTGTTACATCCCTCGCCACTGTACACACACAGAGGCACACACCCCTTTCATAGCAGCAGCCTGTCACAGACTTTTCCTCAGACTTGAACTATAATTCGGCACTGGACAAGTCCTTTGGGTCTATCCACTGGCATTTGCAGATGTGGTTGAATCATTTGCTCTAACTTACCAATAGCCAAATGTCCTAAGGCCATCTGAAGTCTCAGGACTTCTAAGTACCAGAAACTATAAATCATACTTCAAAAAAACCTACCGGAGTCTCCAAAATCACACCTTGGATTCAAGAGTTGCCTCTTCACCAGAACAATTCTCAGAATGACCTCCTTTGGCTATAGATCTCTAATGGTGGGAGTAAACAGTTACGGACAGATTCAGTTTTACACGAGCCCCTATCTTTAGCTGACACACAAACACAACTGTCTTTTGGGATCAAAGTAACCAATCTCTTATTAAAGTGGAAAGTGGTAGAGATTGTTTCTTTATTTCCAACACAATCATAACAAGGAAATAAGAGAAATGCTTAAATTGTAAAACCAGATGCAAAACATGGGAGAAACCTTGGGTTTTTAATGAAAACCTTCTGTGCTCCACCTCACACCCAGCTGAAACACCTCCTCCTTTCTCATACTTTCCTTACCTTTCCCTCTAAACTCCTCCAAAAAGTCCTGGCTCTCTCATTCCATTCTAACCACAGCAATATTTCCACATAGCATTGGACCTTTTTTGCTGAGGCCATTAATTTAAAACAAAATAAGAAGTGGGAAGGGATTATTAAATCTGTTAGTTTCTTTGAAAAAATTGGATTTTGGTGGTAATGCAGTGAAACTGGCAGGTTCAAAGTCTTCTAATCGCACTCTAAATGTGTACAATCATTTTCTAAAGCAAGGTGGCTATGTGCATCAAGAACCATAAAAAATACTACATGCTTTAACTTGGTAATCATGCTTCCCACTAACATAAACCAAAATGAGTAAAAAATTATTAGACATATTTATTGTAGTGATTTTTAATAGAAAAATAGAAGAAAATCCAAAACACATGAGCAATAGTTAAGCAAGTTACTATACATTTACTTATAGATTATTCCTATTTATACAATTATTAACTAGGTTATAAAAGTATAGCAAGTACAAAAATGTGCTTGCTGGACTACTGAATACATGTAATACAACTATAACCATGTAAAATTTGCAAGACCAATGCCTGTAAGGATGGCTAGCAAAGTGCACCCAATGATGTGTTAAGGTAAAGGTAAAGGCACTAGATTCTTTCCTAGGTTTGAATATTTTGTAATGTTTTTGCACTATTTTCATAGTAAAAAAGTGTGGCACAAGTCCACAAAAAATAATATTAAAACACCTTTATAATGATTATGAATACATATCCTTTAATACACAGAGTTTCTCTAAAACATTTTAGTTTCTTCTAAATGTGTATGGATAATTCCTCTCATTTGGAATTCATCTAAGATTATTACAAATGCTCTAAAAATCTGATACATTTACTCCACTAAACAACTCAACGAGCTTTTCTATAGTCTATTGCCCAAATGCATGTCTCAAAGGTGTGCAAATACAACGGGGTTTCAAGTTTATTCAATTCCTAATCATACACCTGAGTAAGGCTCCAAGTTTATATTATTTTCTCTCATACTAATGAAAAGTTCCAGCTGTGTAATTTTCAACAAGACAAAATAAAATCTTGACAAATTATACAGTTATGATGCTTTTATCATCATATACATGTGAGGATCCATATAAACCAGCAGTAAAAAAAATAAAGGAGTCTGGTACAGAGGCAAAACACTTTGTTCCACTGATTATGTTCTGGACAAAGAAATGTGAAAGGTGCAGACCGGCTGAGAAGCGTTTTTATTTATTTGAAGATAGTTTTAAAAATGAATTTCATATCAGAACGAATGCATTGTAATGTCTGGTTCCTGTTTGCAGATAATGCTAATGAAAGGCACATTCAGATCATAGCATTCATCATACAAGGACCAGAGAGAGAAACATGAATAAAAGTTATGTGGGTGCCAATTTGGGCGGGGCAGGGAGAGTTACAGAACCGTGGGAATATGAAGTCGCTTTCATCACCACTCCTTCCCAACCCCTGTCTGAGCAAAAGAGAGTGAGCAAAGTTCTCTACAGACTTTCAGTGAGTTTCAGAGCCTCCCTGTCTCAGAACAAAAAAGCAAGGAGAAAATGTTTGTGTTCAAAGCCCATTGCAGGGGCAGGAGCAGGGTTCCAGTCCAGGGTCCAGCTCCCTGCTAATACACATTTGGGAGGCAGCAGGTGACTACGCAAGAAGTGGGTGCCTGCCACCCATATCAGACCCAGAAGGATTTCTGGGCTCCTGGCTTCAGCCTAACCAAGCCCCTGCGGTTGTAGGTATTTGAGGATTGAACCAGAGGATGGGAGATCTGTTACTGTGTCTCTCTGCCTCTCAAGTAAACAAAATAAAACAATATATCTGTTGTCAAAGCCTTTCTTTTCATCAAGTCAAAACTAATCAACATCCACAGTTGGCATGGACTTAGCAAATATCTAGTAAAACTGTCCTCATTTTACAGAAAACAAATAAAAAATCCAAAAAAATCATGCAGCTGACTCAGTTTCTGAAATGTATAACATTTCTGCACCTGTAATCCACACACCCTGCCTGCCACCCAGCATTCATTCACATGTGCCACTCGGCACCTTATTCTCACTCCACTTTTGTCCCTTCATAATGTAGTAGAATCACAGGATCTGATGGTTGAAGTACACTTAAATTAATCAATTTGATCACATAAAAATTAAGATTCTGTGAAGCAAAGGAAAAAAATCACAAGTAAAAACAACTAGAGCAATAATTTTCAATATGGTAACAGATTTATCTTCTTAATAATGAGTTTTTCAAGTCAATAAAGGAAAGACAAAAAGCTCATGGTCAAAATGGTCAAAAATTTAACTTACTAACTTGCCATCAAACAGGTGATTCTCTTTGTTGCTTTTCTGTGATAAGTCTCCTGTTTCCTGGATCCTCTTTCTTGATTAATTCCTTCAGTTTCAAGGGATGCCTCTCCAACAGGTTCCTGAGAAAGGGCACAAGAGAAGTAAATATTTTGTGATCACAGAAAATACCTTTATTCTATCATGCACTTGATTTTAAGATGTCTGTGCTTGAAGAAAATGATAACATATAAACTGAATTTTTTATTATTAATTAGCCACCACTATATATTAATAGTTCTGTTTAATACTAGATACTAAACAACATTTTTTTCTTCATTTTAATTCTAAAAAAAGATTTAAAAATGTACATATGTATTTATTTATATGTTTGAAAGCCAGACTGAGAGAGAGATCTTCCATCTGGTAGTTCATTCCCCAAATGTCTACAAAAGCTAAGTCTGGGCCAGGCTGAAGCTAGGAGCCTGGTCTCCATCCTGGTCTTCTACATGAGTGATAGGGGCCCAGGAACTTGGACCATGTTTTGCTGCTTCCCATATGCCATAGCAGAAAGCTGAATCAGAAGCGGAGCATCTGGGACTGGAACTAGCACACAGCAGTTATTTACTTTTTTTAACCTTTATTTAATAAATATAAATTTCCGAAGTACAGCTTTTGGATTATAGCAGCTTTTTCCCCCATAACCTCCCTCCCACCCGCAACCATCCCATCACCCGCTCCCTCTTCCATCCCATTCACATCAAGATTCATTTTCAGTTATCTTTATATACAGAAGATCAATTTAGTATATATTAAGTAAAGATTTCAACAGTTTACACCCACACAGAAACACAAAGTATAAAGTACTGTTTGAGTACTAGTTATACCATTAATTCACATAGTAAAACACAGTAAGGACAGAGCCTACATGGGGAGTAAGTGCACAGTGACTCCTGTTGTTGATTTAACAATTGACACTCTTATTTATGATGTCAGTAATCACCCTAGGCTCTAGTCATGAGTTGCCAAGGCCATGGAAGCCTTTTGAGTTTGCCAACTCCAATCTTATTTAGACAAGGCCATAGTCAAAGTGAAAGTTCTCTTCTTCCTTCAGAGAACAGTACCTCCTCTTTGATGGCCCGTTCTTTCTGCTGGATCTCACTCACAGAGATCTTTCACTTAGGTTTTTTTTTTTTTTTTTTTTTTTGCCAGAGTGTCTTGGCTTTCCACACCTAAAATACTCTCATGTCTTTTTAGCTGGGTCTGAATGCCTTAAGGGCTGATTCTGAGGCAAGAGTGCTGTTTAGGACATCTGCCATTCTATGAGTCTGCTGTGTATCCCGCTTCCCATGTTGGATTGTTCTTTCCTTTTTAATTCTATCAGTTACCACAGTAGCCCAAGACACTGGCAGAGAAGCGGCAGGAAGAGCCTAGAGGGAACGAGACTTGAAGCCCCGTGGAGGAAAGTACACCAGCCTAACTAGAGGAGAGAAAAAAAAAATAAAAGGGACCGGTACAGACACGATTCTCTCTCTCTACTCACCTTACAAAGGCAGGGAAGACAACAGAGCAGGCGCCATTTTGGACATATGTCACAGCTGCACCAGCTCAGGGCTATGCCCGCCCTCAACCAAGCAGAAAAACCTGACTTTGGTGGGGAGAAATAACAGGAGATTAAGACCTAGTGAATGTGTGGAACTTATGAATCAGGACTGTGAAGAAAAAAAAAAAAACTGAGGGTGTGTGGGAGAACTTATGGTGTGGCTGAGACACGAGTGGTCTTGCTGGGAGATGCCACAAAGTTGGTAACCTTGGCAACCTCGTGAGAGACATTGCAGGGGAATCTGAACTTACACTGAAGACTGCACAGATCCTTTGTGTGGTCCTTGGGACAGAGCAGACGAATATGATACCCACTGGGGCTAGCGCTCAGGCACTGATTGCCATCAAATTATTTACTTTTAATCATATCAACCCAGCTTTGCAAATATGATATTGTTGGAAGGAACATAGCTTTGACTTAAACCCAGAACTGTGAGTAGTTCAGAGTCTCCAAAAGATATCAGTAGTACTACATTTCCCTCAGGAATAAGAAAGTGCCTGTGGTACCCTGTGATTTTCTTGTGGTTCCCTGGGGCACCTCAGTTTGAGAATCTTAGGGCTAACCATTAGTTAAAAAGTAAAGTTAGATTCCTTTGTTATGTATGTATAGTAATGCACACATTTTTGTGTGTATCTTTATCTAGTAAATATACATATATGTAATATGTTTGCATGTGGACTAGCATATGTATTCATATATACAAATGCAAACAAATGCCATTTTTCATTTGCATATGTATACGAATAAGAGTATATATCCTAAACAGGCATAAAAATATCATATAATTTTAAATATTTAAAAATTATAGCCTGAAACACATCAAAATGATGATTAAGTGGTAAAATTATGAGTAAATCCTATTTTCTACTTTATGCTTCCCATGTCCTATCTTTCCTATGAGGTTCTGTTCCATATTCAGTGGAAGTAATATACTGAACAAAATATATATATATATTATGAACAGAATATATATATTCTGAACAAAAAATAAACAAAAAACTAAAAATGTAGACCCAAGTTCCACTTTACTTCGTGTTAATGAGGTAAGGAAGTATAGAATGCAGTCAACATGAAAATGGGTTTGAATCATTGTAAGTAGTCATATAATGGGCAGATTAGGGTAAACCTAGTACTGCTCTATAGTCAACCAAGAGCTGAGTACAGGAATCTCTCTCATTCATAGATTAATAACAATAATAGAAAAGAAACAAACATGAAATCAAGCAAATAATGTTCTAATGTTTTCTTAGGGTTCTAAGAAAAAGACAACAAAGAAATATGAACCCTTCCAAAAAGAAAAAAGGTGCAAACTCATAACACAGACCTCAAAATCATTGCTATGAGGCTGATGAAAAATGTGGAAAATCCTCCTGGAATCAGAACTCAATAAAACAATGGTCTCTATGAATGCTGAAAGAACTGAGGGAAAAATAAAAAAAGAAAATAAGACCACCACAAAAATGAAAGTCACATTTGGAAGCAACACAAAGGAGAAGAGATTATAAAAAAATGAAAATGAAGGACATAAAGGACAAACTTGAGAACCCTGAGGCAAATGAAAATAGCTTAAAAGAATTATAGAAAAAATAAAAGCCATAGAAGACAAACAACGCAAAAGAAAAATATGTTTATTTAGGGCCTCTAAAAAGGAAAGCAATAAGACACAAAAAGTACTCAAAATATAATTCAAAAATTGCTTTTGCAATACAAATTTGAACTTCTGCATTCAAAGGTCATGTGATGTTTCAGTAAAAATATATGCAGATGATAAAAATTGCAAAGCATATTTCCTGGTAAAGATACTGAGCTCCAAAGAGAAAGAAAAAATCTAGCCATCCCTAAGGGGAAAAACTCAGGGCACATTCACCTTTCCCACAGCCACAAGATGATGCTGGGAAATGACAGAGGAACATTGAGTTCTCAGAGATCAGGCGCTCTGGAGACTTTAGCAGACAAACTGATTTCTAGGCATAGAGAGACAAACATCAGACATCCTCCAACATGGAGGAATTTGGGAACCATCACTCCACGAAGATGTCTTAAAGAAATAAACCTTAGCCAATCAATGAAAGAAGAAGCTGCAGCAAAAGCACTGGCAATGAATGACCAATGAATCCATCTGAATGCAGAACTTAGAATGAACCACTGCAGTGACAGCAGTCAAGGTCAGCCTATGGATTTTAGTGACCATGCAGAGTGTCAGGGGATTACAACTCCTGAAGTAGGAAGGTTGCCGTGGGACAAGATGAGGAGTACTAAGAAAGAACTGGTAAATGTTATCTGAACAAATCATTTACAAACAATTTAAATAATACTCTGCATATTATTTGACAGTCTTAGAAATACCCATGAGAGACTGAAGAATATACATCTTTTAGGAAAATAAGCGGATAGTAATAAAATAAAAAGTATTATACCATATAGAAAACATGATGTACTGAGAAACTAAGTTTGAAACAAAGTAACACAGTAAAGCCCAAAATAGAAGAATCAACAATGCCTGATCTGGCAAATACAACCCAAAGGATAGAAGGATCATGACAGAGAAATCAGAGAATATTGAATACCAGTCAAAAAGCACAAAATAAGGCAAAGAGAGGCACTTTAGAATAAAGATTTATTTATGTACCAAATAACAAAAAACTCTTTAAAAAGAAATGTGCACACACACACACATACACACACACACATAGAGCCTAATCTAGATATACGAGATTAATTCATCTCTCTTAGTGCTAACATATTAAGTGGAAGAGAAATAGCAAGGTGGCAAATGACCGTAGCATGAAGATACATTAATTTAAAATAACTCAATGTACAAAAAAAGTTTTTGAAATTAGCAATATATTAGGCCACAAAAACAATAAATTCCAGGGCTGGCACTGTGGCGCAGCGGGTTAAAGCCCTGGCCTGAAGCGCAGGCATCTGATATGGGCGCCAGTTCTAGTACTGGCTGCTCCACTTGCAATCCAGCTCTTGGCTACGACCTGAGATAGCAGTAGAAAATGGCCCAAGTCCTTGGGCCCCTGCACCTGCATGGGAGACCTGGAAGAAGTTCCTGGCTCCGGATCGGCACAACTCCCGCTGTTGCAGCCAATTGGGGAGTGAACCAGCGAATAGAAGACCTTTCTGTTTCTGTCTTTCCCTCTCTCTGTAACTGTCTTTCAAATAAATAAAATAAATATTTAAAAAAAAAACAATAAATTCCTTAAAATAATATAGATAGCATCCTCTACTCTAATGAGCATAGAAATGAATCACAAAATTAGGAAAATAAAACACCCTGTTATAAGTGAGTTTTAAATTTCTTTCTTTTTTTTTTTTTTTTTTTTTTTTTTGACAGGCAGAGTGGACAGTGAGAGAGAGAGAGACAGAGAGAAAGGTCTTCCTTTTCCGTTGGTTCACCCTGCAATGACTGCTGCAGCTGGTGCGCTGCGGCAGGCGCACCGCGCTGATCCGAAGCCAGGAGCCAGGCGCTTCTCCTGGTCTCCCATGCGGGTATAGGGCCCAAGGACCTGGGCCATCCTCCACTGCACTCCT